ATATATATATATATGATATATATAAACAGCTCTGTGACAACATTTTCTTTTCCCTTTTCTGCTTGCTTTTACTGAGGAGAATAAAAATATGTATACATATGTTGAGGAGCAAGGTATCCAAGAAAAGTAGCTTATACTATTGTTTTTCTCTGGTTTGTGGGTGTGACTAGATTAAAGGTCACAACAAGCTGAATTGGTTGACTCTTTAATTTACAATTTTGATCTTCCAGAGAGAATGTGGAGACTGTTTTCCAGGACCTGAAAGAAGAATGTCATCGAATATGTATGCTAGTCAGAGAACAAACAGACCAACTGAGTAAATTTAAGATAACGCCAGAACCTGAAACTGGTAATATCATACTTAAGCTCTTATTGTGATTCAACTGTTTGAAAGCTTTGCTTTATATTTGAAAATACTGCAAATTACACATACATAGAAGTACTTCCACTGTTTACCATCTGCCTTTTTCAAGTCTGTTCACATGGTGCTCAGTATTTCACCAAGAAAATGCACCGCCAGTTTTGGCATTCTATGACGAATGCTCCAAATCACATGCTATAAAAGACAGTCATCACATCAATGGCTCTTGTAATTGTTTTGTCCCTTGGAGTGAGAGGCAGGCACTTACTACATGTGATATCCCATCATACTGTGTGAATGACAGCACTTGCTTGCTTTTAATTTAGCTGTCAGTTCAAAAGATGTCTGCTAGGAATGTCTCTAGCCCCATATCTGTTAGAGGGAAACTGCTGGACTGAGGAGAGACAGAAGACTTATTTTCTAGACTTGCATGTGCAGACTTTTGAATACTGTTTTGTGATATGGGACAAGAGCTTAATCCAGCACTTTGGGAAAAGAGAAGAAGGGCTTGATTTTTGTTGCACCTGTAAGAGATTCTGAATGTCTAGTTCTGCTAATGCTTACCTTTAGTATAACGTAAGATATGATGGGCATTCCCTACTAGCTTTTCTTAATAGTAGGATCAGACTCTTAAGTGATTTCAGTAAACACCTGCCAAACTCACAGTTAAAGCAAAGGATGCCAATTTCAGCACTTGCTTTTAATTTAGGTCATCCATTACTGAAGTTTTGTTACATGAAGTGCTAACATGTAGCTTGCAGCTTCAAATTGCTATGTCTGAACTATACTGTTATATTCTAATTGTATGCTAATAACTTCATTATTTGGGGGTGGGGATTTTGGAAGATGTGTGCTTGATAACTTACTTTACAATGGTTTTGATTTCCTTAAAGAAGTGCCTAATTCCACTGTGTGAAAAGCTATACATGATACAGTTTAACTCTGCTTGATTTCTCATACTTCTGTGTTCCACTTTACCACAGTATCTGAGTGATGTCAGAAGGCACTGTCAATGTGTACTGGAGTTATTCTCTCACCTGATTAGGAGTAACAATGTGTATTATTAACATTTTTGTTAATAAGGTGCCGAAAATGAAGGGGGAGTTCTCAAAGGGAAAATATGGTCCCACTTCTGAATAGCTAATCAGTTTAAATATTTACCTAATTTGGAAACCAGTGGGAGTTTGGTACCTGAATACCTTCTAAAATCGTGCCCATGGTGCCTAGCATGTTCTTGGCACTGTGTGAAATGATTTGGGTTCCAGCTTCTATTTCTGCCAGAACACTTCAGTAAATATATGCAAGGATGTGTTAAGAGTATGGGGCAACATAATTTTCAATAAAATGAAAATGTTTATAGCCATAAATGCAATAGAGATAGAATTACTAGAGCAGAATTATTTCCTCTTATTTCTGTTCTGCTAGTTTTTGTGTCAGAGCTAATGTTTGTGGAAGAGAACTACGCCTCAATCTGATTTTAAAGAGAAAAAAAAGAAGTTAAAAAACCAAGAAAGAAAATCAATAACCTTTCAGGAAAAATACCCCAGCACCACATCTTTAATAACTCTACTTCAATGGACTATTTAATGTTTTCTTCATTCTTTCTTCACAGAAATACAGTTTTCCATGCCGATACAGTGTACTGATAAAACTGATGAACAAGCAGAAGAGCTTTTTAAGACTCGGGTTATAAAGGATATAAATAGAGGTGCATCATGCATCACATCTATCACACCAAGAGGAGTGGGCCAAGATGAGGACAACAACTCTGTAGAATCACTTTCTAAATTTAATGTCAAGTTTCCACCTACAGACAATGACTCTGCTTTCTTGCAGAGCACTCAGGAAAAACCAACAGTTCCTTGTACTGGTATAGCTGAAAACATGCTTCAAGATCATCATTTTAACCTGGAGCACAGAGACCGTGCTGTTAACCTCAGTAAATTGGAACCTAACTCATTTGAAGCTCATGGCATTGATCTCATGACCTCAGCTTTACAAAGCTTAACTACTGTTGACAAAACAAACCCCCCAGATCATGCAAACATGCCCCTAGAAAATATCTGTGACAAGCCATGTTTAAAAACAACAGACAGTGGTTTCACATTTGTACCTAAGCACACAAACCAGGGTGTACCTGAAGCAATTTTTTCTTCAGAAGCTGCTGCAACAACCATCAGAGGTCCTCATCAGGTATCTTTCTATAAATACTGTGCATTTCACAGAAATGGTAATGATTCAGACAGACACTTTGCAAAGACCTTTGAGACAGGACTAATATATTCTATGAGGTATTCCATTGTGTTTTTTTTAAGACAGTATCTTCTCAGTTCTTCTTCCTAATACTGGAGTATGTGTACAAGGCACTTTTCCAGTGAAGAGGCAGAAATTTAAGCAGATTTAAGCACTGGATGCTTGTACAAAATGCAGTTCATTTAGATATTAATTGCTTCTATATCTATTTCAAAGCTGTCATTAATTGTAAGTTGCCCCCTAGATTGCTTTTTTCCTACCCTTGATCTCAGTTGAATAGGGCATGTATTTGTTTTAATTGTTTTTCATGTACAGCAGAGAATATGACAAATGGACTGATTAAAAAGCTGAACAGATAAATCCTTCCACTATGGAAAAATTAGCTACTTTTTTATCTCAATCTGAGGTATAAACAACACCCTATTCCTGCTCTGTAAGTGACTTGTTTTTCATCATAGTATAAGCAGTCAAGGAGGAAAGCAGATTTATTTTTTTTCAAATGAAGAGAAGTTCACTAAAATGGTTTATTTTAGGTTTATGTAGGTAATTTCGACTTGAATTTCAGTTACAGTTTAAAATCCATGGGAGCTTCTGAAAATAAGGTCCAGTTGCTGTAATGAAGAAAAACATTTTGGCAGGTTCTGATGGTCACATCTCTGAATACTTTGCTTCTTTTGTGTAACATCCTGTCACAGCTGAAAGCTTTAGAGAATGAATTTGTTTCTTTTTGGCTCTGTGGCTTTTCTCACACCTTGTGAAAGGACAGATTTTCAAAAATAAGCAAATAGTGATATTTAGGAATTCTCTGAGGGTGAATTTCACATATTTTTACTATTTACATTTATGTAGTTTTGTGTTCTTTCCTGCAGCAGAAGAGCTTCACTTCTCCGTTGGCCACTGCGTGACATGCAAAACTAGCATTTGGAAAGCATTCGTAGGACATGATAGCTTTGATGTTTTCTTCTCCTAAAATTTACCCAGTCTAGTTTAATTTTCTATTGCAAACTAGTTCTGGATGAAAATTTTAAAGCATGGAAAGTTTACTGCTATTCATCATTGTAATTTGAACTATAAGCCTGATTTTTCAAAAGGTATTTTAAATACCTATTTGTAATGTAGGAGATCTCGATTCTATACCAACTTATTAATCACAGTTTTTATTGTCTTTTCTTTTTCATTAGGCCCTCAGTTAAAGTTGTGACTGAGTTAAACAAATGAAAACATTTATTTTATCACTGGTGGAATTCCTGTGGGGCTGTGAAGCATTCACTCCATTGGTTGTTACTATCCTCTTTTCTGTATTCCCTCTCCAGCTTGTTCTTTTACTAGTTAGTCTGTTTATTCATTTTTCAATAGATGGCACCCTGCATTGTGCATTACAGCAAGGGAAACAGCTGGTATGTGGTTAGAAATTGATAGAGGAGTGTGCAGCTTAAAAAGTACAGAACTGTGGTGGAACAGCAATAAGCCTTTCATCACTGGTATTTCTGCAAAATAAGGAAATTAATTTGGAGACATCATTTACAATGTGAATGATCCACTTTGTGGAGAAAAAAGTGCTACTGCTAACACTTGGAGAAAAAGAAAGCTAATGGCGGACTGGTCCAGTATTTGTAAGTCATACTTATAATAGCACTGCATTGATTAAAATGTGATATCCAGAAGCTTGTTTGAAACAAGCCAGTACTGCTTTAGAATCCATTAAATGCACATCTGTGTATATCAGTATATTTAAACATCCATCACCTTTATTCAGCTGCCTTCTTAAAAGGGTTTTAAGTAATTTTCCCAGTGAATTGGACTCAGTTTCAGAGGGTTTTTTGACTGTTAATTGTGCTAAAGATTTGATTCACAGAAAATACTACGTAGATTAAAATACTAATTTTTTTAAAGTGACTTCTATAGATGCCCTTTCCACTGTGTTAACCTTAGCAAAATTTATGCATAAACTTGTTCTTAGCATTTTTACCACCTTTCTCAGGGGTAGTTATGCTGCTTACAGCTTCTATCATCCCTTCCAGTGGCGAAGCTCCAATAGGAAAGAATTCTATACCTCTTTTTTTTTTTAACTAGTGTAGATAAAACTTTCAAGTATTTACTACATATGTTAACTTATAAAATGGAAAACCCCATAAATGCAATAGATTTGGCAACAGTAAGTTCTTGGAACTGCTCTCAGTTGGTGTAATAAATTTAGCTCTTTCCTTCTATGTGGATACTAAATGTAAAAACTCAGTACTGTTTTCTTAGGATGTAACTTTAAAAAAAAATCGTGACTGAAAAGAGCAGCAGATTAAAATAAACATGGATATTAGTGAACCTAGGATTTTACAGACTGCATTTAACTGAGACTTGCATATAGATGTATGTTTCTCAGTATTTGCAGTTTATGAGGGGTTGTTTCCACCAAAAATATTTCTGATTATGTTCATTATTTTAAAAGCAAATCAATAGTCTATTAATCTTAATCTGAATTTTAATGTTTTTGATATGAAATGAGTACTTAAATATATTCCTATTCTGAAAAGGATATTAAGCACATGCTTAGCACTCAGAGAAAGAAATGGAAGTTAAGTGCCTGCATCTATGGGTTTCTGGATGAGGACCTCCCCTTGAGCTTCCAAGATGAGAAATAGTTTTTACAATACTATTTTATCTTTTTTTTTCGAATGATGCTTTACATCATAAGGTATGAGAAACAAGTAATTCTAAACACATTTATGTAGTGTGTTTAAGTGTGTTAACTTATGTTTAAGTGTGTCAGTGTCTAGATAGATTTAATATGCAATTTACACCAGCCACATACAATAAGTAGGCTCTTTGAGCTGAAAAAAAGTGGTGTGATTGCACTTAATTACTAATTAGCCAATTTAATTATATGGATTGCTGACCATAATGAAAGACAGTAAATCTGCTATTGCTATGTGATAAGCTAAACACCGTTTAAATACAGAATGGGCAGGAAATTGACTTGCAAGAAGTTTAGGGTGGTTTAAAAAGAAGGTTTAACCACTATGAAAGCCAGGTTAGTTGTGCGGTGAGGTACCATGGAAGGAATAAACAATAGAGTCACTATTTGGCATGATGAAATTTGAATAAGAGCCGAAAATTAAAAATCTTGGGTAAATACCAGGAGCAAGACATCTAAAACTTCTAAAAAACCTACTTTTTAAAGTGTTCTTGCTGCCTTTCCACGTGCAAGTGAAATGAGAGAAGAAAATTGAGCACAAAAAAAAACCCTGTAGGGCACTCTTCTCTTGCAGGTTCCAGCCCCACACAGAGCACAGACCAGCTTGCTGCCATTCTCTCTGCTTTGCAGTCACAGCAGTGTGCTTTGATTTTCAGTTTATTCAAAACCTAATTGTCCTCGCCGTGTAACATAACTATTTATTTTCTCTTGTGTTGCTACTACTAAAGTCATGAAACTTAATTTTTAACTTTGCTTTGAAAACTCATAGAAGACTTTTTCATTCCTAGTTGCTATGATTCTAAATAGTGTACACTTGGACTCCAGGCTTAAGAGCCTTGAATTCCAACGTTGGATAAACGGACTTGCTGGCTTTAAACTAACTAGGTAACATAACTATTTATTTTCTCTTGTGTTGCTACTACTAAAGTCATGAAACTTAATTTTTAACTTTGCTTTGAAAACTCATAGAAGACTTTTTCATTCCTAGTTGCTATGATTCTAAATAGTGTACACTTGGACTCCAGGCTTAAGAGCCTTGAATTCCAACGTTGGATAAACGGACTTGCTGGCTTTAAACTAACTAGCTCCAAGAGCAGTTTTTTTTTACCAAATACAGCATAGTTCACACAGTTGACTGAATGCATGGATAGGTATTCAAACGGTCCCAGTGAGTTTGATGCTGTCATGGCAGAAGGAATCTCAAACCAGATTATTTGAGACACATTTACACTAAAAGGCAGTCAGAGCAAATAAGTACCTTGAGCCATACAACGTGGCTCTAGTCATTCTGTAAGTAAACTGAAAACTAGTTATGTGTCAGTAAGAATGGGGATAAAACAGGAATATATGAACTCTGTATAAGAAGCATTTTATTCCAAGGTAAAAATCTATTTTCTCATTTCTGTTAAATGGCTATTGTGTATTATTGACTTCTACAGTAAAATACTGTCATGCAAGGTTAAAGAAAAGCTTTAATATGTATCAGACTGGTATTACAGACTTCTGCTCGTAGCAGTATTTATTGTTAATAGGTACTAAGGTATTTTAAGTATTTGCAAGGACAGTGTTTTTATAGAACTTTGAAAAACCAAAGTCCTGTCTCAGCTTTCTTAAATGAGAACTCTCTGGCTAATGTGTCTGGCCAGGCAGGTATAAAGGATACCTAGTTTAAAGAGGCAGGTATTTTTTATATAAATATAAACCACAGCATAATGTAAACCACACTGTGAACCACATCAATAATAATTTTATGTTTCTTTTAGCTCATTTGGCAGCCTCAAGACAATGATTTGCTGGCACAAGCATATGCAGACTCTGAACCGAATCAGTGTGGAATATGTGAATTCTGTCGAGAAGTTTTCCCACCATCTCTAACATCTAAGGAGGATTTTCTTCGGCATCTGAATTCCCACTTTGAAGTACAGTCTTAATGTATGAGAATTCAGTGGTTCACTGGTTTTGCATACATTTTTTTATTCAATAGATATGCTAAGAATTTAAGAATTAAGACTTCTTGTAACAAGAACTCATGACTGAAATTGTTTGTCAGATAAGCACATTTTTAGTTGTCCTTTGACAAGGTAAAATGAAACTAAGTCACTCAGTACTGTAATTCATATTATTGCATCTTATGCTTCACTATTAACTTTAAGAGTGATGTCAAAGACTTTTTTTCCAATTAAGCCTTGCCTGAATGGGCCTGAAGTCGTGATTATATTTATGAGTGTAGACTTGTAGGATTAATGCCTTAATCTGGCTGGCAAACTTGGTGTAATGTTAGGATTTTTTCACAGTATCCAGTGATGTGATTATGTTCTCCTTGAAGTAAACGGGAAGAGGAAGAGAAGTATGCTCTCATTTTTCATTTCTATTATAAAATTTCCAAATTTTACTTACAATAGTGAACCTCTTAATTCAGATTCTTGTAAAATTATAACAGTAACTAAATGCCAGGTGTAGCAAAATTAGAATAGGCCTGTTCATTAGTAACATAAATGAATGGTTGGTTTTCCCAGGTGAATTCTTTACTAGACAGAGTAATCAAAAACAGCACATAAATGACCCTTTTGCTAAAAATAAAACAGTAATTATTTTATAGATATCTGTTACGTGTTATAAAAAAATAATTATCTTGTTCGTGTACCTTTCCAGCATTAATATTTACTAAAAATGCTTCCATGGAAAAGCATACATTAGTATGAAGGATAGAGAAGGTTAAACTTTGCCTAAGACTAATCATACAAAATATTAGTTGCTGTTCCTTCTGGTCTGCTGTGAAGAATTGCTCAACTTGGTACACCCTAGAAAGGAAAGGGGAAAACCTAATCACCCAAATCTCAGTGACTTCATTTTTAACCCAAATATGCTTAGCGGCTTTCTCAATGCAATTTAAATCTGTGTTTAGTTGAAACATTGCAGTCTGATAAAGTTTGCACATTTTATGGATTTATTTATCAAATTAAAAGGTTTGGGGGTTGCTAAGTATTTTAAAATAATGATAAAGGCTGACCTGGGGCTTTCTGCATTTGAACTGAATACGAGGTTTAGTCCTGATATTTGATAATTAGCATTAATATTTTCACAGCAGCAAAGCACAACACTTTCTCTTTTTAAAGATCTGTTCGCAGGTGACAGATTTCTGGAAGAATTAACACACCTGCATAATTTTTAGAAATGGATTTTTCTGCAATTATTTTCTCTATTTTGAGCATGCCATGGTTATGACGGGCTGTCAGCAGAGTGTACTGTAATAAACAGCAGTGTGCAGTGCCTGTCTGCGACACGACCTGGAGAAAGAGTTTGTTGCTATTCAGAGCTGTAAACCCCCGCGGGTCCCCAGCGTTGGAGAGCCTGTGTTGGGCCCTGGGCTCGCCGTGCCGCGTGTGAAGTACCTCCCCAGAGAGCACGGCTGGGAGTGGTTCTGGGAGAGGCAGAAGTTCCAGGCTTGGGAGGAGAGGAGGAGACGCACATCCCCAGCCAGCCCAACACACAACCCCGACTCGTCCTCTCCACCGTGAAATCCGAGCCCAGAAGCTCATGTTATTAAGAGAGAGGAACAAACGGCGAATCACCTTTACAGAAAATAAAGTCATCTGTTTCTCCCTCCCGCCCCTCCATGCGTGGACGCGTTTTCCCAAAGAGCCCTTCTGCTGGCGCGGGGGGCGCTCAGCCCGCGGCCGGGGGAGC